AACTATATCCAACGCCTCATTAGATACCAGGATTTATCAAATAAATCTTTTTCAATGTAAAAACACTTACATTAGAGAGACATCTCGAAATCTAGAAAACCCGAATCTAACAAAAGATTGACGTACGTCTGGAAAACCTTTTAAACCTTCTCGTGATACACAAAGACAAAATCGACCATAATTTGGATTTTAAAAATGCCACTCACATTTAAAAATGAACATAATTCTTTACCTCGAAAACAATTTAAGGGAATCCTGATAAAAATTTTTTCCGACAATAAACACACGTTAAAAACACGTTATTACACCAACCTTTGTGAAATCCATTCTTACAGAATCTAACGTATATTTAACTAACACAGAAGGTGTCGACGAAAAATGTCCCCACATCTACATGCAGACAACATCTAAAAATAAATAATGCAGTCTAGATACACACAAACACACACACACACATTATTATTCTAATCCTGCAGCGATAAACTAGAATCATGATACACTTACACACATAAACCATATCCACGAACGCTGCCTGACAAGTCAAATACATATAAAGTATACTTAACCAATAAGAATCAAACAACTCCAAACTAAATATATCAGAAATAATATTTCTATATATCATTCTCTGATGAAACTTTAACAAAAGCGAAACATAGATTTATAAATATTTCCTATTTGTTTTTATCTTCTCACCCTACCACACAAACACATACAAACATATATATATATATATATATATATATATATATATATAATCCCTTTATCGACGAGTGACATGGTACTGTTATAAAGCTTTTTATTTAAAATGCGTAATAGTAGTACCTTTTCTTTAACAGAACATGTATAAAAGAGATTGCTGCCTAAATATACTATATATATATATATATATATATATATATATATATATATATATATATATATATATATATATATATATATATATATATATATATATATATATATATATATATGAGCAGGCGGAGTAATGGATAGCGGCTTGGATTGAGGAATCGCAGAGCCGAGTTCGAATTCCAGTCGAATCCATTACATTAACTTACGTGCTAATACCCTTGGGAAAGGTATGAATCCTCTCCCTCCAGCTATGGGTTAAATAGCAGGACAGACTGGGTTTTATAGCCTTAAATAGCAACTGGTCTAGGAGAAGGACAACATGAGAGGTCGTTTGGGAACCTTGTGGCACTGGATGCACCAGGTCTCTGTATTCGTCCCATCCACAAAAAGTGTGGATGGTCCTGCACGAGGCCTTCACCAGTAAAATCAATGTTATGTGGTGTCGGGCTGTCGGTTTCCTGAAACTGATCTGCTTGACCCTCATACGTCGAATCTCGACGGAGAGTATATCTATATATATATATATATATATATATATATATATATATATATATATATGGTATTAAATCCGTTGTTATATAACCAAAGTAGATCCTAGTAATATAAAATATTAAAATTGATCCACATAAAGAGCAAATTACGGAGCAAATAATTTATACACAATAAAATAAAAAATTTGCTTGTATGGGGAATAAGCTCATTTCAACCGACGGAATTCGTCGGTTTTATTCAACCCCGGTATAGACTGAGTTCGTGTCGCAAACATATATATATATATATATATGTGTGTGTGTGTGTGTGTGTGTGTGTGTGTGTGTGTGTGTGTGTGTGTGTTAAAATAAAGAGAAAGATCAGTAAAATATATAATCCGGTGTTCTTACCAATTATTTTTATTTTTACAAAATAGTGCTCAATGCAAATCTACAGAGCATAAACTTTAGAAACTTTAAAATCAATAAAATTACAAAAATATTATATACAGAATTTAAATACCAGAACTGAAAATTACAGTAAGCCTTAAATTGATAAAGGTGAAATTCCTTGATATAACTTTAGATTTAATAAAAAATGTATACATACCTTATAAAATACACAATACTAATCCTTTGTATATACACCCTAAATCTAGTCATCATCAATCTATAATTAAGCATATACTTTTATCTGTCGAAAAGAGAATAAGTACAAATTCAGCAAATGAGAATACTTTCTATGAACATATTAATTTCTATAATAAAGCTCTTAAAGATAGTGACTACAAAAGCCCAAAACTAACTGATATAAAAATGATAATGAAAAGCATAGAAAAAACAGAAGCAGAAAAAAATAATTTGGTATACACCTCCATACAACTAAATGGTAAAGAACAAATCAGGACAAAAATTCCTCGCATTAATCGTTAAATATTTTCCTTAAGATAGTAAACTCAGTACTATTTTCAAGAAAATACTCTAAAATTAAGTTACTGTTGTACTGAAAACTTAGAAATAATTTATTAATAAACATAATGCTAATATCTTGAATAAACACTTAGACCAAAACCAAAAGAATTTAGAGAGTATAATAATAAAAAGAGAAGATAAACAAATATTATGTAACTGCAGAAATCCTCATAACTGTCCTCTTAATAATAAATGTCGCACAGTATCATTAGTGTACCAATGTAATATCTCATCTATTGAGGACCCAGGCAACGTAAAAGTCTATATCGGATACACAAGTCATGAATTCAAGAAACGTTTCAACCAACATCAAAGTTCTTTTAGGATAAATATATACCGAAATCAAACGCCCCTATCGAAATATTTCTGGCACTTAAAAGAAACCAATAAGCCACCTAGTGTGAAATGGAAATTAATAAGAAAAGCTAGAATATGTAGGTCATTAAATGACTCATGTCCTTTGTGCATACATGAGAAACTTTACATTATTAGGGTTATAAAAAATAAAAATTTACTTAATCAAAGAAATGAAATCACTATTCTTTGCTGACATTGTCAAAAATTTTCCTTAAATAATGTTTAAAAAATAAAAGCTGACAAGTGAAATATACATATTTATATTTGATATTTAATATTATTTTTTAAATAATTAAAGAAATTCTATGACATTTATTTTTTGTAAAAGAAGTAATTAGAATTAGGAAAAATATTTTAAAATTGTAGTTCATTACGATGTATTCATATACAAACAACCCTTTTAGAAAAGATTTTAAGTATACAATTATAGGGCGAAACAAAAGTGCCGAAAACCTTTTTGCCGTTGATAAAGACCAGACGACATGCGTTGAACGGATGTCATTATTCGTTGAAAAAGACACCCTTACTCTACCTTAACTTAACCTCTTTTCGAAAGTAACTCATATTGGGATACAATAGTTGTCAGTGAAAATGAAGACCCTACAACGCCTTGTCAAAATGATTGAATTTCCCCGTGATCCTTAGAAACTAATATTATGAATGTATGTGCTTATAAAACTCAGTAAATTTCAAAATAAGTAATTCCAAAATTCGCTTGAAAATGAAACAGGACTAGGAAACTTAATTCTATAATTGAATTTGAAGTATTTAGTTTGTGTTTTTGAAACATGGTGATTCCTGTGTAGCGATGGAACCATAGATTTAAATTAGTGAATTTATAGTATATATATAATACATATATATGCGTATGTGTGTGTTTGTGTGTTTTCATATAATATGAAAGACCTATTAGATTGATGAACAGAAATTCTTTAGTATTTTTGTTTTTATTTTTAAAAACAGCGCTCTCTCTATATATATATATAATTATTAATAATATATATATAATTTCCGTGAAATTTTCATCGAAAATATGCGTCCTACGACAGGAATCGAACCTGTATTCTATACGGATCCGTCATATAGCCTGACGTATAGGATACAGGTTCGATTTCTGTCGGGGGACGAATATTTTCTATGAAAATTTCTCAGACATTCAGGCCGGGTAAATGTTGTTTAATACTGTTTATTATAAACAGAGCATTTACTTAAATATTTCTATCTATAAAAAAGAATGTATAAACATAATATGTCTTAAAATAATTATCGGACTTTGTCCATTTCATAATAGGTGACGTCATTTGTTTACATTTGGATACGCATCGAGCAGATATGAATGTACGTGAGAGAATCATGGAAGATTGTAGTTTAAAGACAGTAAAATCGACCTTGATAATCGAACTCTCCTCTGTGGCCAAATCGGTTAAAGGCACGTCAAGCTAAATGACGGTTCCGTATTGGATACAGGTTCAATTCCTGTCGGAGGACGCATATTTTCTATGAAAATTTCTTGGACATTCAGGCCAGTAAATGTTGTTGTTTAATACTGTTTATTATAAACAGAGCATTTACTTAAATATTTCTATCTATAAAACGAATGTATAAACATAAAAAAATGTCGTATATATATAATTATTAATATTAAAAATATGTATTCATCGCGACATTTTTAAATATTATATTATGCTCTACTGTGCATATCAAACACTGTTTTCGTGTTTACATATATATATATATATATATATATATATAAACACAAAAACAGTGTTTATATATATATATATATATATATATATATATATATATATATATATGCGTGTAGATTAATTAATTATCGTTAAAAAATATCAAGTTTTAAACAAACGTGGGTTCATATGGTCTAGGTGTGGAATAGATTTAAGAGTCACGTAGCTAAAATGATATTTTCAACTTACGTTTTGTTCGAACATTAAACACACACATACACATACACACCTACATTCACACAAACGCACACACAGTCACACTCACACACGCACATGTGCGTGTGTGTGTATGCACCAAATTTAATGATTTTTTCATATTTGGTTTACTTATCTATGGAAAAATTATTAAGCTCATCAGAATGGCAATTGCTACACTTAAGACGCCCATTCGTCTCGATTTTGACTAAGTTTTTAATTACGCCAAATTGGATGAAGTAAATGGTTTTTTTTTCTGTTGGACAATCATCGCGATAAATAATGGCAGCCTCAGATCAGATAAATATTACATTGCGCCGAAATTGGGCCTAATTGCATGGAGCCTGTTATGTATTTCTCATCATTCTTATGAAGAATAAGTAGAGTGTTTAGACATACATACAAGTAGATCACGAAATCATACGATTCGGATTTATCTATCTATCTATCTATCTATCTATCTATCTATCTATCTATCTATCTATCTATGCCAGGCCGTTTATATGTATCTGTCTATCTATCTCTGTTCATATCTATCTATCTATCTATCTATCTATCTATCTATCTATCTATCTATCTCAGTCTGTTCATTATCTATCTATCTATCTATCTATCTATATCTCTCGAGATATATATATACATATATATATATATATATATATATATATATATATATATATATATATATATATCCAGGTCGTTTATATCTATCTATCTCAGTCTGTTCATATCTATCTATCTATCTATCTATCTATCTATCTATCTATCTATCTATCGCAGTCTGTTCATTATCTGTCTATTTATCTATCTATCTATATCTCTCGATATATATATATATATATATATATATATATATATATATATATATATATATATATTCCAGGTATTTATATCTATTTGTCTATGTATCTGTCTGTTTATATATCTATCTATCTATCTATCTATCTATCTATGCCAGACCGTTTATATCTATCTGTCTATCTATCTCAATCTGTTCATATCTATCTATCTATCTATCTATCTATCTGTTTCAGTTTGTTCGTTTCTATCTTTAATCTCTTCATATCTATCTATTTATCACAGTCTGTTCATATCTATCTATCTATCTATCTATCTATCTATCTATCTATCTCTGATCTTCCAGCTAATATATGTAACAATTCGTTAGAAACAATGAAAAGGTGCCTTCCAAAGCTAAATAAAGTATTTCGACCGTCGTACGCTCCGGACATTTTCAGGAGATTGGAATTTCGAACTGAATACATGACCCAGTAGATAAAAGCGTTGGTTAGATCTAGTAACTTGGCCCAAAGAGTTGTGAGTTCAATACCTGCCTAAGGCAGTGGTGAACAAAAACTTAGACAGCTGAGTTAAAGAGGGATAACTGAGACATCCGGAAGAAGCAGGGCACGTGGAATGACAACAATCTACCCTGGAGGACCAAATAAGGACCAATCGCCTGAAGAAGCCCGGAGCTTACAACGGCCGAAACATCGTAAATATGACAATAACGACGAAGACATCAGTCCTAACAATGTAAATAATTTAAATAATTACAATATCTCATTTAAGATATTTAGACAGATATTGTTTATTTATACTATTTATTTATAATTACTGTTTATTGGAATGAATGGCCGAATATTGGCTAATTACCAACCGATTCGAACTATATAAAATGGTAAATAATAAGGATTTTCTTATAGTTGGTTAACGTCTTATTATAATTGTATTGCTCCTTCTTTAGTTACTTAGTTCGTCTGTTCGTTAGCCTCTTCAGTACTGATCTGTATTCGGAGTGTCATTGGCAGGGATTTTCAAAGAAACACACTCACCCACTCATCGTCGATTTGAAAGGGGCACCTTCTTGAAGATATCAACCTAGGAGTACGATCCCAGCGGGAAGAACTGTTTGCAAGTCACAGAAAATAATACCTAGGGGTTGACTCAAATCATGTAAGTCAAATCGGGTAGAACAGCAGCAATTAAAGAGTGGTTACACACATCTCAAAAGCTCCAATCTCCCGATCGGAGGCCCTGCTTCCGGGAGGGTGGACCTGGGGAAAACAGCAATTAAGAGGTCGTTCCACGCTCTTCGAAACCTTCAATCTCCCGATAAGAGGCCCTGCTTCCGGGACGGTGGACCTGGGAACAACAGCAATTAAGAGGTGGTTCTACGCCCCTTAAAAACCTCCAGTCTGCCGATCAGAGGCCTTGCTGCCGGAAACGTGAACCAGAGAACAACAGCAATTAAGAGGTGGTTCCATGCTCCTCGAAACATTCAATCTCCAAAGCAGAGGCGTTGCTTCCGGGAAGGTGGACTTGGGGACAACGGCAATTAAGAGGTGGTTCCACGCTCCTCGAAACCTTCAATCTCCCGATCAGAGGACCTGCTTCCGGGAGGGTGGACCTGGGGAAAACAGCAATTAAGAGGTGGTTCCACGCTCCTCGAAACCTTCAATCGCCCGATCAGAGGCCCTGCTTCCGGGAGGGTGGACCTGGGATCAACAACAAATAAGAGGTAGTTCCCCACTCCTCGAAACCTTCAATAAGCCCGATCAGAGTTCTTGCTGCCGGATGTAGTTTATTTTCAAACCCAGGACTAGGTTTTACTTGAATCTAATAGCTTAAAGCTTAATCGATAAAAAAAGAAAACAAAACTAACGCATTTCAGGAATGTCTTAAGATATCCTTACAGTCCATTTGACTTACGGCTATATCACGTTGAAATATTGGCTCCCGTATGATCGCCGAAGTTAAGCAACATCTATCCTGGTCAGTTCCTAGATGGGTGACTGTTTGGGAATGCCATGTTCTGTAAGTTTGAATGTGCACATGGTGTAATGGGTCATCACTCGGAATTATTAATTGGGGAGCCGGTTTCTCGTACGAACACCGCAGTTAAGCAACATCGAGCCTGGTCAGTACCTAGATGGGTGACCGTTTGGGAATGCCAGGCGCCGTAAGCTTGGATGTGCGGGTGGTGTAATGGGTAATGACTCGGAATTATTAATTTGTGAGATGCCAACTATCACATTTCAAATTCTCGAATTAATTTGTGAAGTTTTTACAAATACAGTCTTTGCCCTGTTGATGATGTGTTTTTTTTTTGGGGGGGTATAGAGGGGTGAGGAAAGGATAAAATGAAGAATGGCTATCAATGCATCATAAGCTGTCGAATGACGTTACATTTAATTTTTTAAGATTACATTGATCAGGGAAGTAAGTAAGAGGAAGGTAGTTCCACAGTCGGGAAGTGCGAGAGAAGAAGCTGCTCTTTCGACAGAAAAAGGGTGGGACTAGGATGCCAACCTAGTAGCACGCTTAAATTCATGCAGTCGGGGCAACAGTGAACATAGCTCGTCAGAGCAGATGGAATGAAAATGTTTGTAGAAAAGACCGAGGGAAGCCACATTACGTCCGTGAGAAAATGACTGGAGACGAGATGCCAGGTCAGGGACTATCATATTGCAAATTCTAAATTCTAAATAGGCAGTTTCTTGAATTAATCTGTGAAGTATGCCCTCTTTTGCCTTGTTGAGGCTGTGTGTTTTGTTTTGTTTTGTTTCTTTTAAGCAATTCACGCCAAGCAAGGCGGGAAAACCACTAGTACGCAAGGTGGTCACAGAGGGTGTAAGTAAAGGAAAAGACTGGGTATAGAAGGATGAGGAAAGGGATAAAAAGAAGAACGGGGGACGTTACATTTAATTTTTTGAAGATTATAGTGATCAGGGAAGTAAGTAAGCGGAAGGGAGTTCCACTGTCGGGAAGTGCGAGAGAAGAAGCTGCTGTTTTGACAATAAAATGCTGGGACTGGGACACCAACCTAGTAGCACGCTTAAATTCATGCAGTCGGGGTACCAGTGAAAATAGCTTGTCAGATAAATGTAAACAACTAATTTAAAATTCTCTTAAAAATCCAATATTTGTCCTTGAGATGTATTTCAAAGTCCATTATTAAATTTAAGAATTAATTAAATGGATTTTCTTAAAGTATTAGCTAGTGAAAACAATGGACAAAATAGAAAGACTATGTACCAAAAAAAAAAAAAAAAAAAAAACGAGGAAAAAGTAAAAATAAAACCTAAAAAAGTACGGAAGACCAGCAGTGCAATATTCAAGAATTTGTTATTTATGCTTAAAATAATTTTTTTTAACCTTATATAACCAATAATTTAAGAATATAATTTTTATTCTATACGCTTTTATTACACTTATTTTAATTAATAATGTTAGTTCTTATACCGACTGAAATTAGATTAATATCCGAATATTCCCCCGATATTGAATAGTAATCAGTCAACGGAGATATCGGAATTATTTCCTTTTTGTATATCCGTAATAAAAATAATCTACATATTAACAGATTAACTCTATCTGTATCTCTATCTATAAAAGGCAGGATGTGTGTGTGTGTAACGAATGCACGGCCGCAATTTTCGACGGATTTGCACTAAAATTTACATGCACATGCTCCAAGTTAACGGGAAGGCCAACGCCGACTTTGCATTTCCCAACTACCATTGATAGTGGAAATAATCGATTTTTCATGCTTCTACGGCAGTTTTCATGTAGTTTGCGGCCATTTCCTACTGGCCAGAGTGAGAGACTATAGCTGACTGCCTGGAATAGGCAGGAAGATTCTATTGGCCAGCCTGAGAGCCAACAGCTGACTGACACGAATGTTAACTAGCATCGAAAAAAATCGATAGCTGCATTTGTCACAAATAGGAAAAATTTAAATCTGTATGGCACTTTACTCCAATTGGCTCATTCGCTTGCTTAAACTCAACGTTGATTCTGATTCCGCAGAACTGGGTTCGGTGTCAAAAAGTATTTGTTGTTAACGTTCTTTTTTTCATTCAGTTTTTCCAGTTACGAGTGCTTTTTTAAAGCTGATCGTTTTGTGTTCCTTTTGTTTAGTTCTTTTTTCGTAACAGATTTAATGTTTAGTATACAGCTTAGAAAAAATTTGCAGTGTGAGATAGGCAAGAAGTAAGGCATGTAGCAACATCAGCACGGCAAAGGGCACTCCATTAAAAGCAAGGGAGGGCAAAAATATTTTAAGTCAAGTGATAGCGATTGCTGTATGAGTCGTACGATTTTTGAATCAAGCCCGGGCAACGCCGGGCCATGCTGCTAGTCTGTAATAAGAGTGGATGAAGTGTTTTCCAGTGCAAGCAAGAATCCTTCGAATAATCGTTTCCAATATCGACAGGAGTTAGTAGAAGACGGGTTTGCAAAGTCCAAGTCGAGAGGTTCTGGTTTAAGGTATTTGTTCATAAATACGTTAAATAAATTCTAATGAAAATCGAAGTCTAGTTCGGTTTAACGAGCCTTTATTGAACGTAACTGAAGGTTCTTGATATTTTGGCTAAGATGGTGTGTATATTTATACAAATCATATAACAAGGGAGGTAATCATATCTTACCACAAAGGGGTATCGATTTTTTTTTACATTCATTGCGAAAACAAAATCCATTTTAGTGATAACTAAGTTCAATTATTCGATTCTTTAAACGCGTCTTGACTACAAAAAAAAACGAAATTTTCATTATGGGGAGATTTTCAAAATGGAACTGAGAAATTACAAGTAAATTTTACAAAAATAAATATTCATTATAGATATTTTTCCTTCTTAGACCTGGACGAAACTAATATGTTTTATTAAACTATGTAATTGAGTTTTATATAATTATTTTTGTAAGGTTTCAGGAAAAATTTTCACTACATTCATATTTAATAATGCAATTATTATTTTCTTTTAAACTGAAATAATATCTTCAGGGATTTTTTCGTTATAAAATTATAAAAATATTTGTAATCACCCCAATTTTAAAAGTAATCACGATGTATCGAAATGTGATTTTACTGACCTCCAAATAATATTTCCATAAAATAAATTAAAATAATCTGTATGCTATGCGTTCATTAATGAATAACTACAGAAAATCCCATTTAATTCGGATGAATTTATTGCATAAAATTAATCGCTCAAAAATTGAAACCCTGGCCAGAATCATTCTGTTTTCGTTGCCACTACCGAAATGCAGTTTTAAAAGCTTTCGACGAAGCAAGGGAGACAACTTGTGAATTACTTCCCTTGAACGCTACATCTCTTCGCGGAATAGTAAAAATAAAAATGGAAGTCAAGACAAAATACTAGTCTATGGCCAATGGATGACACGCTAACAGCGATGAGTTTCAGTCATATTCCTCGTCCTTTCAGGATGAGGGTGATTATGATTTTCATACTTGAGGAATTACAACTTTTGATCTAGATTAAGCAAAAAGCAATTAGAAAAGGTGTAATGAACAGTTAATATTTATATTTGAGTAATAATAATAATAATAATAATAATGGCAGTAATAGTAATAGTCCATTATTTATTAGCATGAGACACTTCTATATTTCCTCCTTTCTTTCTTTCTTTCTTTCTTTCTTTCTTTTTTTTATTTTCTCACCGAAACCAAATAATGTCTTTTGCCCTATTTCCATGCGATCAGAACGGAATAGTTTATTATTTATGAGGTATTGGCAGGACGTAACGGTCGTCCGAACTAGCGAAGGAAAGGACAAGCACAATAATAATAATAATAATAATAGTGCATTATTTACTAGCCATTAGCACGAGACGTTAAACACTTCTATTTTACTTCTTTTTTTCTTTCATTTCGTCAGCGTAACGAAATATTGTCTTTCCTCGCCACTCTTTCCACGCGATCAAAATGGAATACTGCAATATTTATCATATATTGGCAGGGCGTAGTGGTCGTGCGAAATATTGAAAGAAGGCACAAGCACTAATAATAATAATAATAATGTGTTTGGGATTCTGTACTTGGTTGGCAAAGGTTCTGATAGTCTAACTGAAGCTTTTTCTGTTAACCAATGCCTTAAAGAAATACAAAATGGTTCCTACAAACACAGATCACACGTTACAAAGGACTTCATCTTAATAAATGCAAGTGGTATTATGTTGTTTTATTTATTTATATTTTTTTACACAAATTTTCAGCAGAAAATGTCATAATGTCATTTCTGATTTTAGCTAACCGATGCTTGTAAAATTTTCAGAATCTATTAATATTTATATGTGCTGTAGGGACACAAAGGGCGATTTTGTCCTTTTGGGTAATCGGAATTCACGAGGAAACTACATGGACCCGATTAAGCACGCAAGAGTCACCACTGGCCTGGACATTTTCGGATTTAATAGAACTTTATTAAACATAGATGTATATATCTTGATTATATATATATATATATATATATATATATATATATATATATAGTACAGGTAATCGATCCGTTGGTATATCATCGTGATATATCGTATAGTGGACCCTAGTAATATTAATCATTAAGCATAGTAGGAACTGATATTAAACTACAAATAACGAAAGGTTCTAGCCATAAATGAACTCCAACCCCAGATCGCTTCTCCCGGAATAAGATGCCGCATCCCACACACACACACCAGTCGTTAACACAAGCCCATTCTCATTAACAAGGCGTCTACCAGAGGAGAGCTAACAGTGAAAAAAAATTTAAAACAATGTTTTGAGACAAACACTTAGGGCCTGATGATAGCCGCGTACAGAACGGCTTGAAATAGACCATCTCATGTTAAGGCATTTTTTTTTTTGCAATATATATATATATATATATATATATATATATATATATATATATATATATATATATTCCGGATCCAAAGAACCTTTTGAACTAGAAACCTAAGTCTTGAGTGCTTGCTTACATATTAGGAAATTCATCTTAAGCACATATGAGGCTGGCTAAAAAAAATGGACATTTCAATTAACTCCCCACCTATTATAATCCCATTGATTTTTTTTATCCTCCTCCTTCTTTTTTTTCCTCTCATCCTCCTCCTTTTCTTTTACACCCAGCGTCGTGTTTTTCATTTTTATTAATTTTTTTTTTAATAATATAGCGTTCATT